CGGGGGGAGACAACTCCGATGGGGGCGTCGTCGGGCGGCGACCAGTTCTGCTTGCCGCGGCCTGCGACGTTTCTCTCGGAGGAGGCGTGCAGAGACGATCGTGCAGGAGAACCCACCCCAATACCCCCGACGTCGCGCCTCTTGTTCCTCGCAGCGTTCGCCCCCAGAGGTCTGGACCTCTTCCCTGGGGGCCGCCTCTTCATCCCCAGTCGTCTGGTCCAGCAATGGCCCCGAGCGGCCGAACATCGCCACAGCCTTTGCGCTGCCTCTTGTGTCACGACGCGAAAGGGCCTGGGTTCGGGGAGCGACCCTCCAACCTCTCTTGGGATGCCTGAACAATTGTGAAATCAGAGCCCCTTGGAGGCCTCTTGGAGGCCTCTTGGAGCCATCGTTGAGCTCTCCTGGGGCCCTTTCGTATGCCCTCGAAGCGCTTTGAGGCTCTCCTGGGGCCCTCTTCGAGACCTTTCGGGCTCTCTTACAACGATCAAAGCGAGGGCGATGCCAACGAATCCCCTCTTGGGGTCCTCTTGGCACCCTGTTGAGGTGATATTGAGCGCTGTTGGGGCCGTTTGGGAGCATTTGTGGGCCCGTCTTGGGGCTCTCCTCCTCCTCCCTCCTCCTCCTCCTCCTCCTCCTCCTCCCTCCTCCCTCCTCCTCCACCCTCCTCCCTCCTCCCTCCTTCCTCCTCCCTCCCTCCTCCCTCCTCCTTCCTCCTCTCCTCTCCCTCCTCCTCCCCTCCTCCCTCCTCCCTCCTCCTCCCTCCTCCTCCTCCTCCTCCTCCCTCCCTCCCTCCCTCCTCCCTCCTCCTTCCTCCTCTCCTCCTCCTCCTCCCTCCTCCTCCCTCCTCCCTCCCTCCTCCTCCTCCTCCTCCTCCCTCCTCCCTCCTCCCTCCCTCCTCCTCCTCCTCCTCCTCCTCCTCCTTCTCCTCCTCCTCCTGCTCCTCCTCCTCCTCCCCCTCCTCCCCCTCCCCCCTCCTCCCCTCCTCCCCCTCCTCCCCCTCCTCCTCCTCCTCCTCCTCCCCCTCCTCCTCGTCCTCCTCCTCCTCCTCCTCCTCCTCTTCCTCCTCCTCCTCCCCCTCCTCCTTCTTCTCCTCCTCCTCCGCCTCCATTCCTCCTCTTTCTAGATAGCTCCTCCCTGTCGCACCCCGAGGCCAGCTTTTAGGGCGGGTCGGGCGTTGCGCCTGAGACTTCCCCACCGCTTATGACTCTGAAGCTTAAATAGCGGCAACGGCTTCACAGAGGGAGGGCGGTTGGTTTTCAAAATGTGGCTCTCGCCTTAGCGCCGCGCACATTCGCTTTAAACGTTTGCAAGAGCTCCACGCATTGAGGGTGGGTCGCTTTCAATATGTGGCTTTCGCCTTAGCGCCGCGCGCATTCGTTATGTTGTGTTGTGTGTGTTTTTATGTGTATGTATGTGTGTGTATATATATGTACATATATATATATATATATATATATATAAGCAAGCGTTTCACGGATTGAGGGCGGTTCCTTTTCAACATGTGGCTCTCGCCTTAGCGCCGCGCACATTCTTCCAATCAAATTGCAAGAGCTTCACGGCTTGAGGGCGGATGGTTTTCAACATGCGGCTCTCGCCTTAGCGCCGCGCACATTAAAACATGCAAGATTTTCACGGATTGAGGGCGGTTCCTTTTCAACATGTGGTTCTCGCTTTAGCCTCTTGTGCGAGCTTGGAGTCATCTGGAGGGCGCAAGGACAAATCAGACGCGGAAAGGAGAGAAGGCTGACTCAACTGACAAACCAAAGGATTTTGAATGATGTTGGCCGCTCGGGGGCGGTCTTGGGAGTCTCCAGGGCTGCTTGGAGCCGTCCTGTGGCGGTCTTGGGGCCTGTGGGAAGCACGTTAGAAGCCATGTTGCACCATCTTGATATACGATGGGGGCGTTCGTCAAGTGATGCGCCCAGGAGGCTTCAGACCCTGGATGATTCCTTATCTGATTAAGGCTGCAGTGATATCCATGGCTAAGCCTCAATTGGTGTTCCACTGGCTTCCAGACCCTGGATTCCTGATCTAAGGGTTCCTTGTCAAATGCCCTAACCGTGCCTGGGGCCTTCATGGAGCCACCTCGAACCACCTTGACCCCTCCACCCCCGCACGAAACCCTGGCCCAGACCCCAGGGGAGGAGGTAGGTAGAGCGGTAAGCCATCCTCGATATGAAAGAGAGTGGGCTGGAAGAACCATCTCTCTAAACCGCCTGCGCCCAGATGGCCGGGTGGATTCCGAGCCGGATCCAGCCGTGGCGACGAGAGGCCTCCCGGAGGCCCCCCAAGGAGGGCAAACCATCAATGAATTTGGCGCGACCCCAATCAGGGTCTTCTTTCTTCCGAGGCAGTTCAAAGACGTTCTGAGCGATGCAAAGCAGTGCAATGCAAAGCATTGTTTGGTATTGTTTGGTGTTGCTTGGCATTGCTTGGCATCGTTGCTGAGAAATGCTTTGCATTGCGTGGCATTGCGTGTCACGGTCTGAACATGCTTGGCATTGCTTCGCGCTGCTTGGCATACTTTGCCACTGCCTGGCGCTGCTTGGCATTGCTTGGAATCGTTGGTTGGCATTGTTCGCCATTTCTTGGCATTGCTCGGCATTGCTCGGCATTGCTTGGCATTGCTTCGCAGTGCTTGGCGTTGCGTAGCATTGCTTGGCAGTGCTGGGCATTGCTTGGCATTCTTTGAGGTGGCCTGGGATTGATCGGCGTTGCTTGGCATTGCGCGGCTTTGCTCGGCATTACTTGACATTGCTTGGCATTGCTTGGCATTGTTTGGCATTGCTTGACATACTTGGCATTGCTTGACAGTGCGCCGGCAAACCCAGTCAACCCCGAGCAACGCCAGGGACCGCTCGGGCAACCCTGGGCAACGCCTCTGACGAAGGACCCCGCACCCACTGGTTGCGTTCACAAACAAACAATCAGAACCCTTTAGGCAAGGCTGAATTGGGGAAAGCCTAGATGCTCTCCTGTCCTCCCCTTCGTCGTCGTCGTCGTCGTCGTCGCGGTCGTCGCCGCTGTCGATCGTAGACGACAAACGTATCCGTATCCGCGGCATCGTGGGCCAGGCCTTTGGACCGCGATCCCGCGGATACGGAGCGTTTTTGTCGCGGATGCCCCGAGTGAACCTTGTCTGTGCCAACGCGTAACTTTGGGATCGCGATCCCGGATCCAGACCGCGAGGGCGTGGATATGGTTACGTTCGCCGCTCGTGGGTCGTCTTCGCTTCTGCCGCGCCGCGGCGCCCTGGAGAATGCATCCCTGCCTGGCGCGCGCGCTCTCTCGCATCTTCCGGCACGGCGCACGTCCGGACTTCTGGGAAAGGTTGGGATGCTGACGGTTTTCACCACCTGGGCTGAACATCGTTACCTTTCTTCGCCCCCTGTCTCCCCCCCAAAAAAACAGAGCTTCTGGGATAGGCAGATCACCCCCACAGGCGCGACGTCCAGGCTGCGGCGCTCAAGGGCGCGGAGGCAAAGCCACGCGCCGCGCCTCGCGGTCACGCGGTACGCGGTGTTTGAACTCTTCTGATCTGAGCCTCGAAGATGGGGTCCGAGTTGATGGGCCGGTGCCTTGTCCCAGAGAAAACTCCGACGCGACGTCGTGGTGCAGCGTGGGCCATTAATTTTTGGAATGTGGCCCGTAAGCTCTAACATCGCAGAGCGGATTTCGATCGGAAAACGATGGGATGGGCCCGGAGTGTCCTGGAGAACTTCGTTCCAGATTTCGAGGTGAATTTCGTGCGGATTTTTGTTTGGCCAGGAATGAAGACCCTAAACAAGTCCACGCGAAATTCACGTTTTTTCCGCCAGTTTCGGGGTCTTGCGTTGTCAGAGACCCGCGCAGAAATCCGCTGCAGCACGTCTGCCAGGCCGGTGCAATGAGAAGTACGATGGGAACAACTAGGGGGACGAACGATGACATAAACATAAAAGCTCGGAGGTCCCCGCGGAGTTCTCGGATTCGCGCTGGACCCCCCTTCATGCCGCGCAGAGCGCGCCAGGGGCGGCGCCGGAGGCGCCGCCAGGGGGGTCCGGCGCGGATCCGAGAACTCCGCGCGGACCTCCGAGCTTGTGTGCTTCTGTCACTGCTCGTTCCCCTAACAACGTGGACCCCGGGGATCTGGACCCCCTCTCCCCGGGTCGAGAGGTGCCGAAAGGCCCGGGAGAGGGCGGCGGCCTCGCCGCCCTCTCCTCGGGCCGCGGCCTTGCCCTGTCCCAGACCGGACTCCGACGCGGCGTCGTGGTGCAGCGCGGGCCACCCCCAAGGGGGCTACGGTCGCGAGCTTCTGTGCAGCGCATCGCCCCGTCGGTTCTAGGGTTCTAGGCCTTCCAGACTCGAGGAAGAAGAGGAAGAAGCAAGGCATAAACTTTCGGGGCTCCGCGCGGATTCCTTGGCCTGGCGCTGGGGCCCCCTGGCGGCGCCTCCGGCGCCGCCCCTGGCGCGCTCTGCGTGCCAGGGGAGGGGGGCCACGGACGGGAACTCTTGTGCAGCGCGTCGCTCCGCCGATCCTGGCCTGCCACGCTTTGGAGCGGCACGCTATCCGCGGCGCTGTCCCCAGGCGTCCACACCCCGAGCCTCTCCGAGGCCGCCCGCCCCGCGGAGCGGAGCGGCACGCCATCCACTCGCAGGGCGTAGTGTGTCGCCGGGACCGCCGCGGCGACCCGCTCTCCAAAAGTTCTCGACCGCAGACCCCCTCTCAACGGGACGGGCTTCTTTCATCCCGAGCGCCCCCCCCCCCAGCGGCCACAATCGAGGACAAGCCTCCCGCACAAGCTTCGCCGATCCTCTTTCCCGTCGCGCGCGGGAGCGCGGGCGGGTGGACGGAGTCGGCAGGAGCGCGCGCGCGGGAGCGCGCGGGCGAGGAGGAGGAGGAGGAGGAGGAATCGAGGAGCGAGGTCTGTCTCTTCCTTCCGCATTCCTCATCTCTGATGGGCTGAGCCCTCGTTCGGCGTGCCCGACAGCGCTCTGAGCAGACAGCCCGCGGGCCCCAGCTGCAGACCACCGAGAAGTTCAGCGAGGCCGTCCGCGTCGCGCAGGCACGCGCGGGGGGGGGGGGGCGTTTGCTAGCTCATTCGAAGCACGTCACCTGGCTGGCGATTGCACGCGAAATCGCGCTCGGCAACCGTTTCCCAAACATGTTTGCGCTGTAAAAAAAACGGCGGCATTTGTTTGGCCGTGTTCGGTTTCTGAGGGCCCTCGCCGGGCCTCGGGGCCGTTAAGATACGACTCAGGATAAAACATCGGTCCCTGAAAAAGAGTCGATGCATTGGAGGGTCCACGTAATGAAAAGTGAAGAATCGCATGTCTGGGTCTGCCGGTCGGATGGACGAGAAGCCACATCAACCCTGGCGTGCCGTATCTGGCGAGGAGATCCAAGATGCCTCCCCGAGCTGGACGTTGGGTACACCGGCAGGAGGGCCCTCCCTGGCTCCCCGCGACGGTGGTGGTGATGGTGCCGATTCTCTTGGCTCCTGTGCTGGTTGTCTTTCTACCTGCCGCCCCTGCGCAGGCTTGTTCCGAGAACCATGGTTTCATTGGGTGGAGGAGGAGGAGGAAGAGGAGGAGGAGGAGGAGGAGGAGGAGGAGGAGGAGGAGGAGGACGCAGCCTGAAGGGAGTCCGTCGCGCGAAGCGCCAACGGCCACTGCAGGAGAGCCAAGACCCTTCGGTCACTGCTCAGCGCTCGCTCGGCGTTCACCCCAAAGGTCCCACTCGACGTCGGGATCACGGCGGGGAGGGCGCGCAAGCGCAGTACAGAGCTCGCAGGAAGATTAGGCGAATGTCAAACAGAAACCCGACAAACGAGTTCACCAAGGCTCAACCAGGGAACCCTCGGGGTCACCGACTCTGAGACGTCTCTGGCCATATATGTTTTCGTGCCGCTTATTGTCAGCGGGGTGCCTATTCGTGTTGAAACGCAACATGTGTGACGCAGCACGCTTAGAACGTGGCGGGGGCGGGCATTGCGAGACCAAGGAAGCTGCTTTGCCCGTCGAGATGCCGCCACAACTCAACCACATGACCACCGATCCAGGGGCCACAAAAAGCTCATGCCCCAGAGCCGCTTAGTGGAGAATGTCTCCAAACAGGGGCAGGGGCTGAGCAGGACGAGAGCTGGGATTAGCAGCGGCGCCACCACCCGTACCCCCCAGCCTCCGAGACGTTATCGGAGGCTCTCTTCCCTGCGGCCTCGGTGGGTCTCTACGATGCAAACTCAGAGGAGGTGGGCCTCGGTGCGGCCTCGGTGGGCCTCGGTGCGGTCTCTACGTCCCTGCGGCCTCGGTGCGGCCTCGGTGGGGCAGGAGGAGGAGGCGGCGGCAGAAGCAGCAACGGGAAATGGCCCCGCCTGGGAGCGTGGACAGCCTGCTCGAGGGCGTCCGCGGTATCCGGTAGCGAGAGCAAACCTGACAGCCTTGTCCGTTGAGAGCGGCTCGGGGCCTGAAATCCGCGCTCTCACAATGTGCGGGGAGGAGAAGGGGATCTAGATCGGATACTGGCCGCAGCCGCGTGAGCGTGACCACGCCCTTCCATCTGAGACGTGTGGTCCCCACTGTCTCGAGAGGGCTCCACGGTCCTATTCGGGCACGAGGCTCCCTCATCCCTACCAGACTCCGACGGCGACGACGTCACCCCCCTCCCTCCTGAGGTTCAGGTCCAGGAGGAGCGAAGTTAACCTGACCCTCGTTAGCATGATGCAACGACATCTCCGACGACCGATCCCTACTTGCTGACTCCAGGGAGGCCAGCAACCGCGCTCTCACCCTGCGAATGTCACTGTCGGGAGAGGCTGGCCGCACTCTCGATACATCCAAACTCTGGATATCTGGCGGGATACTGCATTGCGATACGCCCTCGGAATCCATAGGAGGATCAACTCCGCGGGGAGAGCATGCGCTCACGCAAAGATATCTTCGCATGGCAGGTGCGACACACGATAATCTTGCGCTGCCTAGGGGCCCCGACACACTTGGCGCAGGATGGGCGTCGCCATCCTCTGCCAGAGGGGCACAAGGCATGGTATACATTTATGTCGGCGGCGTTCTGAGCCTTGGCTTTGGCCCTGTCCCGCCAACGCTCCCGAAACTTATATTCTCCAGGAACAACCGTGGCCCCTACTAACTTAGTGTGGGCCTTGGCGATCCACATCAAATCTTGACGAGCCGAGCGGAATAAGCGTTTCAATTGCTTGGCTAGTTCGCTAGATGTAGCATGCATGTCTCGACCGTGGCATGCCGCGAAATCCGCCCATATGTTTCCCCTCGTCTCATATCCCCGGCCTTTTTGGTTCCTAGGAGCGTGAGCGACTTGAAGGGATTCCGAACGACTTCCGAGGTCCTCGGTTCGTCGCCATATCTCACGCCACAAATCAGCATTCGGACGCCCAGGCTGACAACCCCACGATCCAGACCATGAAGCACATCCAGAGAATATGTTAGAATTCTGAGCGGAAGAATGGCGGCGCGCAAACTCTGAACCGCTGCAAATCACTCAGCCTTCGGAGACGTGTGAATTGGCCCTGGCAGGGTCCCATGCACAACGAGGTCGCCAGTGTTAGGGCGTATCTGAGCACATCCCCATCCTGCCCTCGTCGCCTCAGGCCAGTAGGAGTACTTCTGCCATGCGCTGTCGGGGACCACGTCGCCTGTCACGCAGCTCGCATCACCGTGTACTACTTGCCGTACGTCACTATCGTCACGTGGAGGTACCACTGGGAGGATATTCGACGAAGGGAGGGGAGGCGGCGGCGGCGATCATTACATAGCATTCGACCGACGGACGGTGCGGGCGCATTATGGCCCCGCCGATGTCGAGCTGTGGCCATCCCTTGTGGTTCCCTTATCCAGGGCGCATGGCTGGAATAGGGCGGATACCCGAATAAGGCGAAATAGGGCACAATGGACGCAAGTGGCTGAGCATGACAAGCGCAGGCGCATCAGACAAGGCAAAACAGAAAGAGCGCCAACGAGAGAGGTAGACACGTGAAAACTGATCTAACATAAGCACACATCACCTGAGGCAGCGACCTATTTGCAACAACACAAGGTGCGCTAGGCTTACCCCCATGGACAAAATTGCACCTCAGGCAGACTTGGTCTGCAGATGTCATCACACAGCAAAGCCCCCGCTCACATTCAAATGCAATGGGGAACTACCCTCTCTGCGGTCTTCGACCTCTCTGCGGATGTAGCTGCTTCCCCATTTCCCAGGAATCGAATTCGCCCTCTCTCTAGCACAGTCTGACCATACACGCCACTGCTTACCTCTGCAATGTCAACAACACTCGGCTCACTCCTCTGATCACCCTTCTGCGCAACAATCACCTGCGGTGCCTGGCGCTGCGAAACAGCCTCTCTAGGCTGTTTTGCATCTTCCTCTCCTGCGTGGTCTTCGTCGGCGGGCTAGGCCTGGGCCAGCTTCAGAAGCCGGCTCGTAATCATGCTGTTCAAAGAAACCATGACACCGCCCACGCCGCCGAGGTTGGCCCGCGCGTTGATGGAGTAGGTATGGCGCACCTGCCTCTTGTTCAGAGGCACGTTCTGCTCCGCGTGCACTTCTTTGACCTTCCAGCGCTTGAGATACTCTGCTGCTGCCACCATGGGGAGCTTCTTCACCTTGACTACGAACGCTCTGATGACTTCCATCTCGTGCTTCACTTCGGGATCCTGTTGCAGCTCCGTGTGTTTGGCGAGCGCGTCGATCGTGGTCATGCTGAATACCGGACCAGGGTGGCCTTGGCCGTGGTCCGTGGGCTTCTTTTTGACGGTGTCCATATACAGGTCGATGGCCGCGACTGCCACGCCGTTCAGCTCGCACTCCAAGGGGGGCAGGTGCGTCGACATCAGACAGCCCTCGAGAGCTCTGGTGCGCTGTGCTGTGTTGAACCTGGTTATTCCGCATGTCCGCGGCCGTCTCCCCGTCCGACTCGTCGGCGCCCATGGTCGCTGCTCCTCCCGTCGCAGCTGTTGCCGCCGAGGTTTCTGCAGTGCGCTGTCGTCGCTGATGCTTTGGGCCGCGTTGTCCGTTCGAGCCGCCGCCGAAGGAGATCGCTGGAGAGTCCGCTGCCATCCTCTTCTTGGCATCGGCCAGCTTCGCTGCATCGACTGCTGGCGCCACGCGGCCATCTGCGGCGAAGACAAAGCGCGCAACCTTCGGGAGGTCAACGCGCGAGCGTTTTTTTTTTGTTTTTTTTTTTTTGTTTTTTGTTTTTGTATTTTTGTTGATAATCGTCGTATAGGAGTTCGTGTGCTTCAATCATACACATATATGTATATATATATATAGAGGCGAAAAGTGGAAGCTGGAGAAGAGAAGGGGTGCGGCAATGAGGTAGATCTGGTATCGGTGACGTCCCAAATATAGAAGCCGACAAGAAGGGGGAAGGACGAGGACGACGAGGGAGGAGGTTCACGAAGGGGAAGGACGAAGAGGGAGGAGGACGACCGAGAAGGAGGAGGACGAGTAGGACGAGGAGGGAGGGGGACCACGACGGAGGAGCACGAGGAGGACGGAGGCCGACGACGGAGCAGGACGACGAGGAGGGAGGAGGGGAACAGGGGAGGAGGACGAGGGGGATGAGGACGAGAATTCTGCTGTAGACGACTCCACAAGCTCTGGGAGGTGAGGATTGAGCGGGAGTCCTGATGCCTCAGATGAGGGACTCTTGGGAGCCCATGGTGTGACGAAACCCATGTGCTTAGCCTGTAGCATGTACTTGAACATCCGGCCTTGCCAATGACGTTCTGGGTCTTGTTGTTGTCGAGGGTCGCAGCCTTCAGGGCCGACAGCACGCGCTCCTGGAGCTGGCGCTTGTCGATCCTGCCATCTGCGAGCATCTCAATCCACTCGAACCGTCCAGGCCGAGATTCAGACCAGGCATTGCCACCTCGTCATGCCAAGCATCGCCTCTATAATGTTGTGCATCTTGGTCGACAGCCACGCCCTCGCTGGAAAGCCCAGCACCTTCGTGAACAGGTCCCGAAAAATCATCACCACAAAGAGGTCTGCCGCACCACCGTGTACTTTTCCAGGTACGGGTGC